GTCGATGTTTGTTACCGAGCAAATTACTGTAAGTCGAAGTTGCATTCGATGAGTTTATATTCAGAATAAACATTGAAAGCCGAAGTTTAAAGCGATAACATATTTTGCTTCATTTCCATTTTGTAAACTATTAAAACTCTAGTTATGAATACTATCTTTGACGTTCGAAATATGTACAGAACATATTTTTCACCGAGTTCCAAAAACGACAGTGTTCTTTATTCGATGTGTATATTTTTTTAAATTAATTTCATTCTGTCGCCTCTTACAACACCAAATCGACAATATGGAGTAGTCAATTTTATTACACCGCCACTATGTGGCCGTAGAATGAAAAGGGGAGATCTCCCGCCAAGGCAAGGTGTTCTGCCCGGGGAGCGGCCAACGCTCCATGTGTTAGTTCGGAGATGTTCTATATGTACTGTTTATGATTCGGAATTTTGATAGCGTGATTTAGGCTTCGGTGTGTTGCGCTTGCGGCGCGACGGCAGCGCCGCCACATCACCCCCCTGCTCAGTCCGGAAGTCGATAATGCAGTCTCGTTGTCGACGAATTTGCAAATGCTAGGAGATTGCCTTATAGTCTGCGGTGAGTCGAGAAGAAGCAAGTAATCTGCGAAAGTGCAGAGAAGCAGAGGCGAGCAGTAAGGCTCAGAGCCGTGCCGTACACTATAGCGCAGAGAGTAGCTTGAAGGAACAGGAAGCATTATCATTCCAGTGCTGCGATGAACCTTGTTAAGCTAGATGGCTTGCAGGATATGAAGACTGCAGACGATATCTGCTCGGGAGCGGATGGGTGGGGTATTCTATGATGATGATGAAGCTTGAAGTTTCCGAAGGTTGTTGGTTGCGTGTTCAGATCACGTTGGGTGGTCATCACTATGTCCGTAGAAAGAAAAGGGGGAGATCTGCCGCCGGGAAAGGTGTTCTGCCCGGGGAGCGGCCAACGCTCCATGTGTTAATTCGGAGATGTTCTATATATACTGTTTATGATTCGGAATTTTGATAGCGTGATTTAGGCTTCAGTATGTTTCGCTTGCGGCGCGACGACAGCGCCGTCACAACTATACGGTAGAAAACAAGGATTTACAAGTATCATGTTACTTATATTTTAGGGGAAAATTAGGATATAGTATTATTTGCTGATGATACCCCTTTAGTTTACAAACTCAAATTGCAGTCAATTAATTTTGACAATGTACCTAAGGCAAAATGTTTTAAATTTACAATATCCAATGTTAAACATTCGAATAGCAATGTCCTCATAAATGAGGAGGAGTTGAGTCATGTGGATACCACTGTTTTTCTTGGTATTACTATGGACGCTTCAATGGGTCCCCTATATATCTAAATTAGCAGGCAGACTTAGTTCTGATACATATGCTGTAAGAAAAACAAGTAGTCTCACCAATGATGAGACAGCTAGATTAGTTTATTTAAGTTACTTTCGTAGCTTAATTCCTTATGGAATTTGCTATGGGGTAATGTCAGTAGTATTATCATCAAGCCATATTTGTTTTGCAAAAGAAAGCCGTATGTTTTATAACTTAAATTTTAAAGAGTCCGTTACAGAAAAATGGCAGAAAGAAATATTTTAACTTTGGCATCACAATATATTTTTAAAAATGTAATATATGTACATAATAACAATAATAGCTTTGATAAGAATAATTTAAGCGACAGTAGCCTAATGGCAGAACGCGGACCGCGAACTCAAAAAAAAAAACTCGTGGGTTCAAATCCGCCATTCGACTACTGGCATGAACCACTCGTAATACAAGCAATTTAAGCTTATCACGAGTGGTTAAGGGGAATATTAGTAATGTTTATAGCATTGTTAATATTCTTTAAAAAAAAAAGGTGTTCATACTTTAGACACTAGGAACAAACATAAGCTTGTAATACCAGTACTATACTCAACAGAATTAGTAATTAATTTATGGGGCAATGTAAACACTTTGGTAATTTTTTTACTTTCGCGGTCACCTCGTTTTTTGGCTCTAGAAAATCGAAAAGTCATCCGATATCAATGATTTTTTTTAAATCTTCGTTTTTATGGCGGATTTATGAAAAAAAGGAAGATTTCATATAGCTTTATGACTTTAAATGTGATCATAAACTCACTTCTTCGAATATAATCGTTCATAACTTTTTTGCAAAGCATTAAACGAAGTTTATTTACCTACATTTTCGTTAATTTACACAGAAAAATGAACATTTAAAAATAGCATTGAAAAATGTTTATTATTTTTTTGTCACTTAAAGTTTTTATACGGTTTTCTGACTTTAAATGTTATCATAAACGCTCTAGAAAATCGAAATAATTATAAAAGTTTAATATTCTGGTATTTAATTGAGTGTAAGATCGATTGAAGCGAGCCCGGGACTTAAGGCATCCCGACTCGGACAGGTTAGGTTAGAAGTTGACGTGGTCTAGTAAGCGAGCGAAGCGAGCGAATAGACCCCGCCATCTCCTTCGTGGTTATTTTTTTATAAACTACTCAGAAGTAGAAGTAACCTGTAGTAGAAACCTGTGGTAACCAAACCGACTATTAAGCGGGTTAACTATGGCAAATATCTCGTCTATGATGTAATCTATGGTGGAGCAGGGGGCTTTTGTAAGCTGTGATAATGATGCTTAGTTATAATATTATACCCTATAATGTACCTTACAGCACCCACAGTCACTCCCGTGGGAGCGTGGGTGGATGCTGTAAAGTCTTCTAATTGTCGGGAATATAAAAATGAGTTAAAATACGCGATAAACTCCGTAAAACTAGTTTTATTTAAACCTATTCCATATTATCCATTCATTTCATTGTAACAATAGCGGGAAATACTCTTCACTTAATGGCCTTAAGTTTTATTTGGCTGCAATGAAATGTGTGCAATGTTAATCTAACGAAACAATGTTGCTTTATTTTTATTATTTTTGGCCGACTACAAAAAAGTGGTAAATTTACAATTCGACTGTATGTTTTTGTATGTGTTTTATGAAATATCTTTGTCAATTTTGTAATGTTTTTATTATTCCCTCTTTTATTAAATAGGTTATTTTTCGGAGGTTCTTTTAACACGTTTACTGCGGCAAGTAAAATCATAATACTTCATCTAGTGCGGCGGCGGGCCAAAATGCGCCCCCAATGATGTTTCCGCCAGTGCGTGAGTGGTCGATCTAGACCCACCAGCACTAGGATAGATTAAATTGCTATAACTTTGTGGAAACATAATGTATACATTTTTTTTTATATTGTTAGAATGAGCTTGAACCCAACGTTCATAGGTTTGATTCGCCCCGGGATCTGCCAAACAAGAAATGAGAAATAAAGCAGGAAAAGCGGCAGGCCGATATCGACCTGAACCGCACTAGAAAGTATTTTTAGTAGTGACGGGACAGAGAAAAATAAGGGGATATCGAAAATAAAACAGAATTATCGTAAAAGAACCGTAAAATGTTTATATTTACTTATGCCTATCTTGGAAACATGTTACGCAAAGGGTTTGGTTGCATTTCCTGCAATATTTCTTTATTTTCTTTACTTTTTTTTTTTTGCTTCGGTACTATTAAAGATTTTCCGCAGTCTGTCGTAGCACCCTGCACAATTTCTTCGTTTAGCGCTCATTTCAAGAACATGGTCATTGTCCTTAGGTTTTACTTGATTTTCTGAAATGAATTTTTTTGCTTAATTCCGTGTGATTTATTAAACATTGAGTTTTACCACAGAACTCGCGAAATTGAACAACTTTCCCCAGAGAACATAGGTCGAAATATGAAAAAAAAAATTGGCCTTCCCTTACAAAATTGACAACCAGCTGATTGATTTACTACTACGGGAGGTCCAACATTTTTTTTCATACTTGGACCTATATTCTTTGGGGAAAGTTGTTCAGTTTCATGAGCACATTCACCTCCTTCAGGGTTGATACCCCCTTCCGTAACACGGTGTATAAGGTCATTTTAAATTAAGTGAAAATATTTTTTGCGAATCTCAGAACAAAAATTGTTCTGTAACATGGGCTGAGTTACCCCACGGGAGGTTTTGCGCATTTGGAATTACATGTTGTATAGGTGTAGGGTTGTCCTTCAAGGAGATAACTCAGTATCGCTTATACAACAACTTTCCTTATGGGACCCATGTTGAAATCTTAAAAAAAATATTCTCACTTTTCATACAAAAAAAATCAGATAGTTTATTCCTCAAATACAATTTTTAATCAGTTGATCGGATCGGTTAGTATGGGAAGCCAAAAATTTTTCTTCGAGTTTACGACATGATAGGGAAATTTGTTGTATAAACGATACTGAGTTACCTCCTTGAAGGACAGCGGTGATAACCCTAACAGCCTCTATATATAGGTATAAAATTATGTATATGGTGTATAATATAGTGGTAACAGGACCTAATGTCTATTTTGTGCAATCAAGTAGACCACTTAAAGCGTTATTTTTATGATAAATGCAGCTGAGTGCCCCGAAATAAGAACTCGCATTATGTGTTATTGAGTAAGTAAACAGTGCCATAACATACCATAATAGAACAGTAGTGCAAACAACGCCAAACATTGCTCGCAGAAAATAGCAGAGTCAGCACAAAGCTCATGCACGAAGACCATGCGCAGCCACCGTAATACTGGTAATATGTTCAAAATAATGACAATAGTTACCTGTTGCAGATGTAGAACGTCTGACGATGTTGAAACACGGAAATGTAGGAATCGCCTTCAACAATAATCTACATATGCCTACAGTGATGTTACACGTCATTATACTTACTATCAGCGCATATACTTTTTCCAGTTAATGATTGCATTAATGCCTCTGTAAATTCTTTTTTTGAAACCTTCTTATCACATTTCACGTTGTATGTGATCCACGCGTTTACTAACGCCATGCCTAACAAATATTCCATACCCACTTTTCTGAACCATTTCAGCCCTCTTTTTAATGTAGAATAGTATGAAGACATTTGGTCGCTGAAGTCAACTCCTTTTTTGTTGTTATTATACGTTAAGACACATGTAGGCTTTTTTTATATCTTCATTCGTCTTCCTATTTTTTTTGCCAGTGTTGACAAGCACATCTTTGTCCTCTTTGAGAGTAGATATCATTAGAAGTTGCCTTTTGTCAACCCATTTAATAACTTTAACGCCATTTTTATTCATAGCTCCTTTGATTTCACCCTTCTTCAACTTTAGTAACACTATCTCCTTAGGTAGCCCCCTTCGCTTCGAATTTAGGGTACCGCAATAACGGGTTTTTTGAGATAAGAGTTCTTCCGCCAATTCAATTGAAGAGTAGAAATTGTCTGCAATTACTACACGACATTTGTTCTCCAGCCCTTGAATGAGTTTCAGTACGGTGACTTTACCATGATTTTGTTCACGGCCATTTTCTCCCTTTCCAGAATAAATTATTGAATTATATATATACCCTTCTGGAGTGCATAACTTGTAAATTTTAACACCATACTTGTGTGATTTGTTTTTAATGTATTGTTTGAATTTCAGCCTGCCACGCCATGGTATCATTGATTCATCTATAACAATGAATTTACCTGGCGTTAATACTTCTTGGAATCTGCTGTTGAGCATATTAGCCAAATCATGAATTTTCTTCAACTTATTTGTATTGTGGATGGCTGACGAATCATCACAAAAATGCCAGAATTTCAGTAATAGCAGAAATCTATCCCGAGTCATTACAGATACAATATATTCGTTTCGATATATTGATTTTTTTGACCAATAGTCATTTATATGAGACACTTTGTTCAGACCCATTGCGAGTAGTACCCCTAGAAACTTCCGCATTTCTATATTATTCGTAGCTTTCCATGATAATAACCGAGATTTTGTCTTTATTTCGTTATTATTTTGCTTTTCTGCGATGTGTTTTAACGCATATTTATTAGTTTCTGTAACCATTTTATCTATTATTTCATCAGTTACAAATAAGGAAAAAATACCTGCAGGAGATATATCTTCTATAGGAATATTAAAAGTGCTTTCATTTAAAGTACACGCATCCAACTCAGGTGTCAAATCTGTGACAGCATCCCATTCATTGACACTATTATCCTGTGCATCTTCCTCTTCCTCTGAAACATCATTATCTATATCCGATACAACTTCACTTGCAGAATATTCATCACTCTCATCATCGCCTGTGTCACCACTTTCCTGCTCTTCATCTTCCTCCTCAGTATTTTCCGTTTCTTCCTCTCTCTCTGCATCTTCATCTTCCTCTTCAGCATTTCCTGTTTCTTCCTCTCTCTCTTCTACATCTTCTACATCAACATTTTCTGTTTCTTTCTCTCTCTCTGCTTCGTCATTAAGTGTTTCTTTCTGTCTTTCATTTTCTTCAAACTGTTTATTACGTTCTTCGTCATAAAAAACACAATTTTCATTACTTTCAGTTAACCCTTGCGACATACTGTCTTCAAAAGAATAAGTGAATGTAAGTTTTGTCTTTGGATCTTTCCTTTCTATTTCATTTTTCTTTTTTATCTTTTTTATTATCGTTTCTTAGATTTATCAAGTCATGATATTCGCTTTCATCTATTTTGATGCCGTGCATAAGCTTAGAAGCTGATATATTGTTTAGCGAAGGACTGCATCCTCTTGAGCTATACATACTAAATCGTTCCGATGACGATGAGCTAGGCGAAGACAATCCTTTTGATGTCTGTGGTGTAGGTTTATTTTTACATTCTGTAATGCAAAAAAAGGTAAGTGGAATAAAATTAATCTACACTAATATTATAAATGTGAAAGTTTAGATGTATGGATGTTTGCTACTCTTTCACGCAAAAACTACTGAACGGATTTAGGTGAAACTTTACAGTAATATAAGTAAAAAATTAAATAAAATATGAAATTTTGAGAGATAGAGAGAGAGAGATATCTGTCAATAGATGCTCAGCAGAAACTATAACACTAAAAGCAAATAAATTATTTAAATTAAGACATACCTGTTTTAGTTACATGTGAAAACGAGACTGGTTTAAGAATATGAAATTTTCTTCCACTGGGGCTACTGAAAACGTCCGCTGTTGACAAAAAAAGTTTACTGTGACTCTTATTGTGTCTTATTTAGCGAGAAAAAGGAGTGTTGGGGTAAAAGCGGACGGATTATGGTTCAATTGAAAAGATGTTCAAAAAAACTAAATTTTCTCGACATCAACTGTTGAAAATAAATCATTAAAATGCAATGAAAGTGTTAAGAATAATCTTTTTCATAAAGGATGGTATTACATAAAAAATCCCCACGTCATTATGCGTCTAAGGCTGATATGTTGATATGTGTAGGTTGTAAATAAAACTTACCGCTTTTGCTTTGTTTTCCGTGCACATTTGTTTCCAAATCCTTTTTAGTTTTCTTAGTGGAAAATATTTCTTCACTGCTGTCACTATCACTGTCAATAACTGCAGGGCGAATTACTCTATTTTCCAAAATTTGTATTTTTCTTTTATTGCTTGCCATTGTTGATAATATCGGACGCTACGACAGAGCTGTTAGATAGCACAACACTAACTGGCGGGGCGCGCGCTCTGTGCGGTATCGGGTCGCCAGCTGCCTGGTGGGAGGGCGGGCCGAAATAGGCCCACTGCCGCACTCGCGGATGTTTTTTCACCGTCAGTGCGTGGTAGGTCAATAAAAGCCTGCCGTTATGTTTTGATGGGGAACAACTACGGCATTTACCGCCAGATGAAATATATATTTGTTTCTGTCGAATTTTTACAAACACCTGAGATAATCGTTTCGCACAAGCGAGAGGGACATAGTTTTCTTCGTCCGCACCAGTTCAAGTACCGCGGCAGGCCGATATCGGCCTGTTACGCAGTAAACGTGTTAAATAGGAAATAAAAAATTTTATGTAACTATTTAGATGAAATTGCGATTGTAATATTCCTAAGTTCACTCAAAATGATAAAATACTACTTTTAATAAAAAGTAAAAGCCAAATTCGAAGAATTAAAACGAAAAAAAAATTGGTTGTCTGTAAAGTCGGTTTACGGACGATAGTTTAACGTGACAACGTCATAACGAAACATTGATGAAATGATTGCATACTTTGTGGAAGAGAGATAGACGCGGCGCAAGACGAACGTTCAAGCCGAGCCTTCGCTCGCTCGTGCAGCGCTAATGCTCTGATTTTAACGTTAAAATGAGCGTAACGTTACAATAAGTCATCCTTTTTTGTGCGTGCGGTCGGCGTTCATCGATTTATTAGACGTTGTCACGACAAAACTCACATTCTAAAGTTGGTGCTACGACATAGATGAATGAAAGCCAGAATGTGAAATTATTTTATTATTTTTAGTTCTTTGAAAACGGTTTTTAATTTTTATTAAAAGCAGTTTTTTAAATTAACGATCTTTAACACTTTGTAAGTTTGGTAGTCTTGAAACGAAAAAATATTGTCACAGTTTTGCACACACAGCCATTGAAGGCGCCGGCCGGGGCGAACTGGAGCGTTCCGGAGCGGCTGTCAGTCGCTTGGGAATGCTCCGCTAGGGTTGTCTTGTCACGTAAATAAATTAAAATGGTTCACACTACATGTAGGGTAAAAAACTGTTGGTCGTCCTCATTTAAAGATAAGGCATGAAAGTTTTATCAGATTACAGATACACAGGAATTTGTTTAAACGTAAAATAAAATAAAAAAAAATATTTAAACTTTTTATTACTTCCCGTTCTATTAACCCTAGCAATTTATTGTTTGTGTCGGCTTTTCTGACAACATCAAACGCGAAGACTGACTGTTTATTCTTCTTAGTCTATGGCATTATTATCAATCCTAATTTTATAGTTATTACTTTTTTATTCCATTATTAAGTTTTATCAAGTGTTTATATTATTTGTAAGAGAATAATTGCAATAGCTATATCTATATACTATATAATGCACAAGTGAATAACTCACTGAGAAACACAGCATGTATAGCACTCTCTAGTCTGTTAAACTACTGGAGCGGAGGTGTAAAGAGAAAGTAAGTCGATATTACTGCAGGTTGTAAAGCGTTTTTAATCTTAGGACTCATGGACAAAAACGAATCTGTAGTGTCTTTGTTTGATAAATCTGATCTTTAAACTCGTATGTCACTCAAATTTAATTTAATAAAAAAAATATCATATGTTTCAGCCTAAATATTGATATCACTTTTCATGAATTGCAATTAGAATGCATGTAACTGGTCTGATAGAGTAATAACATTATGCTGCAAATCCGTATTTATATATAAAACAATCACTATATATTCTGGCAGATAGCTGAGATTTCTGAAACTGAACGAAAAAAGACACTATTGTCTTCAACCATTGATATCTCAACAACAAGTGACCATACACCCATACTTGAACGTAATTTAAGGACAGTTTCAAAAACTGTAATAAATTTTCTGAAGTTCTGTAATGATATTTGAAGACAAAAATTGTGTTCCGTTCTTAATTTCAATTTGAAAAAGTTAAAAAAACTTTTCCCTAGTTTTGCTTAAACTGCATCTCAGTAAATAGTGATAGGAAAGCTAAGATTTTTAAGATTTTTTTCACTTTTATGTACCATAATCCCTGCCTGTAAATTTGTATCCTTTGAACATTATCACTTTGATATTAGACTAAGTGTTACAATCAAGTAAATCTTCTACAGAAACTACACTAAGTATTATCAAACGGTTGTATAGTT